AGTGTAAGAACTAACTGTGCTTCCCCTCCTACCCAATTCTCTGATTGTTATACACCATTTGCTGTTTCATTTTTCTATGTGTGTGTGTGCAAGATTTGGGGAAAGCATTGCAGTACTATGCAAAATTTATATGAACTTTAAAAATAAAACACCTTTCCTTAAAGCTTCATACCATTGACTGCCCAAGTACCCACTGAGGATCCCAGTTCACATACACCAGTCACTGGTTGTGAGCAGCTGCATGCCCAGTGCCCTGGTCATCTCAGAGCCCAGGCCTTATAAGAACCAGGCCAGGGTAGATGTTACTTCTTTGAGCAAGCCCATCTTTGGATAAGGGCAAGATAATTTTTTGTTTTGTTTTTCCTTTTTCTTGTTAACTGAGTGAAGGTTTACAGAACAGACCATCAGTCCCATAGTCACCCAGCCATATACTTCATTAGAGGATGGCTGTCCCCTCCGTGCACCATCAGCTCACAGTATTTAACCTCAAGTCATTAACTCTTGCATTCCTCCCTGTGTCTTCTGTTCCCTTCATCTTTCTTCTGCTAGCCTCCCCATGACCCAAGTTAGCATGTGTCTAAAGGACTGGAGATTTGAGGTCTTGAGTCAGCAAGGTGAAGCTAGCTGCCTGGGGCAGGGCCCCGCCATGGAGCCCAGCGTTCCTTGTTGCCTCGGCTGTTGGCAGCCACACGATAGAATGAGGAAGGAGCCTGAGGAAAGGAGGGGCTCCCTGACTTACACTCATCTTTCTGTTGGACATGTAGTTTCTTTGCTTTTTATACATAGTGTCCTCTTTTCCTTTATTATACCTTTTCTTTGTTTTATTTCCTCTTCCTTCCTTTTCCTTTGGCTATTGAAACATACCTTCCTCACCAGAAGGCCCAGAACGTGTCTTGAGCCTTGTTGCTGAGAACCAGAACAGAATGAAAGACTGTGAGGGTCCAGTGTCCCCAAACTGAGGAAGAAGCGAGTCTGCTTCATGGCAAATTGCCATCACTTCCATGTAGTTGTCCATGCTGGCTTCTCAGTTTCTTATACACACAAGTTAGATACACCAAGTGTGGGGAAGTTCTTCAGAGCAACAAGAAGTGACCTGTGATGGGAACCAAAAAACCCCAATTATTTGGGGGAATAAAAAACACTTTGAAAGCCCAGCAGCGTGCTGGGCCCAGTCAGCCATGTGATAGCATCCTGTAGACTCACTCAGCAGGCTCCCAGGGCTGTCTATCACCGAGGGTACTCACCTATGGGCTTAGAAGCTTGTAGTGTGTTTTCAAAGATTGCCTTTTGAAGATCTTTCACTTTCTGAATAATCCCTTGTGTGGAACATCATTTTCTCAGGAGGGAGGGCTACTGGGTAAATTAGTGAGTGCTTAGCTGCTATTGCCCCTTTTCCTCTATTAACCACCCCCCCCCACTGTTTTTTTTTTAATAAACATTTGTCTGCCTGCTTTTATTACTTTCTCAAGAGACCCTTTTGTCTTCTCTTTCCCCACACTTGGAGGGAAATGTTTTCAGACTAGGGAGACTTAGAGCGCTGAGGTCCAACCTGCCTTTTGAAATAACATGGATATAAACACCCGTGGGAGCCGTTAGGAGGAGACCCCTTCTTGCTCCAGTGCGTGTGTGGGTTAACTAGGAGGGCGACTGCCCGTGGCCTGAGCCACCTTGTGTGTGAGCTCCCTGCCTGCCCAGGAAGCCAGCACCTCCTACAGGATAGCCCTGAACAGGTCCTTATGCCAGGTGGGGCCCTTTACTGCTCCCGTCTCTGATGAGCCCACTCAACTCCAGGATATTTGTAACCCCCTGCAGAGGCAGGCAGGATGGGTTTTCTGACACCCACTTACGTTTTGAAAGCAGCCCACTTTGTAATGCCAGCCAAACCTTGTGTGTGCCCGCATTCTGCTTTGGAGCTGGAGCCTCTCACCTCACCCCCACCCCCCCACCCCCACCCCACCAGGGACGACTGCAGGAACCTGCTTCAGTCAGATGCTGAGTTACACCTCCCCTTTGTCTGGTTGCTGAGGGCTCTAGGATGTATCCCTCCCCGCTGGATCTCCCAGTAGGGAGATTGACCCCACTCATCCTTCCCAACCACTGCCTTATTTGCCTGTTTGGTCACTAATGCAGAACCAACCTTTTCCTGTGGCAGGTGAAGTGATAAAGCACGGGGACCTGAAATGTGTGCGCAATGAAGGGATGCCCATTTATAAAGCTCCCCTCGAGAAAGGGACTCTGATCATACAATTTTTAGTAAGTTCACTGCATTTTGTTTTTATGGTACGTGATAGAAATGCCTTCACTGGAAAAGCAAACACTTACATTCTTCTCCACCTGCCCCTTCACAGGTGCTCTTTCCTGAAAAACAGTGGCTTTCTCAAGAAAAGCTCCCTCAGCTGGAAGCTCTGCTCCCTCCTCGGCAGAAGGTGAGGATTACAGATGACATGGACCAGGTGGAGCTGAAGGAGTTCAATCCCAGCGAGCAGAACTGGCGCCAACACAGGGAGGCCTACGAGGAGGACGACGATGGGCCCCGGGCTGGAGTGCAGTGCCAGACGGCATGATGGGACACCGTGGACTAGCACGTGATGAGTGTAAAGTTGGCACAATGAAAATGGCATCGCTTTAATGGCCTCGTGTTGGGGTGTCCTGTGTATGTGTTCAGCAGTCTCAATTGCTGAGTGTCTTGTTTTGTTTTGTTTTTTCTTTTGGTTGTAACTTAAGTTATAGCTTAATTTATATTTAAATGTTTTAAGTGTAAATCATCTCTAGTCTGCATATGGAATCTGTTCATTTACATTTTTCAGGAGAATTACTTTTGAGATGCCAGTGAGCGCACCCGACACTGTGCTTGTAGTGGTTTTACCGTCAGTTCCACCAATAAAGCCCAGCCCAGAGAGCAGCATTCGTCACCCTAGCAAGCCCAAGGCAGAGAGGCGTCCTGACCCATCTCTAGGTCTGTGGGTCTCACACACATACGCACGCACACACCCATGGCAGTTACAGAGGGCATAATCTCAGGGCTGCTGACATTTCTGCATCAGATTCTAGATCCTTGTGAAGAATAAAAGCACATCTGTGGATTGGACTTGGTTCCCTGTGGCTCTTTAGTCGTCTGGTTCACACCGAGTGGGCTGTGGTCCCAGAGTTGCAGGGCCACCTTAGTTCCTACCTAGTTGTGAGCCCGGCATGGTTGGGATGGGGAGTGTGACTGAACCTTGTAGGCCATGTGGTAAGGACCAGTGTTTTAAATGACATGCTGATGTAACTGCTTGTCTGGGACTACCCCCCCCACCCCCCCACCCCTTTGTTCTTTGTGGTCTTACTGATTTTCTGAAGACAACGCTCTCTCACCAAAGTGCTAATTTGTAAAGAAAACCAAACCCCTCCATGCCCCTGGCAGCTTGAGTGCAACACAAGCAGTGGGCAACGCTGGTGGCTTGGCCACAGGCACCACCAGCCTGCACTGGACCAGAGCACCTACATGACTTGAGGGTCTGGAACCTGTGTTTTCCCACCTCTCTCCAAACATTGTTCTCTCCTTGTTGCACAGCCCTACTTAAGAAGGGCTTTCGCTTGTGGGACCTTGTCTAGATAGTGTTTGTTGAACTCACTGTGAGAGCTTGTTTGCGGGGCTGTTTGTCCTGGCAGGTAAACTACAGCTTGAGCCTTGCTCACTTCTTTCTCCACAAGAGTTTCCAAGATAAACTAGTACCTTCTAAGCTGCTGAATATAAGAAGGGCATCTCCCCGAGGAGTCAGAGGGCAGATCAGATTCATGGCTACTAGGGAGAGCCCTCTGGATGATCAGGCTCTAGCAGAACACTGCTACTTAGGAGCCCCAGCTGCTTAAATGGGGTATATATATATTGACTCCAGGTTAGACACTACCTGTTCCTGCTGTGGCCATTGGTCAGGATGAACATAACACTGATTCTTCCATGAAGCCTATGTGAAATCCAGTTTACAGATGGACCACGACTCCAGGTGTTTCTTGGGCTCTGACTTCCTAGTGAAAAACGGCTAGAGAACTACCATGACCGCAGAAGTCCAGTCAGCCCCTTCCTTGTCAGTTAACTGAAGGTGAGGGTGTTGCTTTGAGTTTATCCACCTGTCATTTGTTACTTCAAAAATAAAATGGAACTGGTAGGAGAGAAAAGTGATTTTGCCTCTTTTGTGTGTTTGTGTGTGAGTTCAAACGAATAGTTAGCGCCAGCTTGCCCTCATATTGGTTGATGGATGGACTAGTTGCCACACTCCTGGAGTTCCTATGTGGGTGTGTTAAGCATTGCTAACTGCAATGACAGGGAACAGGGGAGGCCTCAGTGAAGAATGCAGTGAGAAAGTACACCCACAGAGGCCTGAGGGCACTGTGGTTAGAGCTGGGTAGCAAGCAGAGGCAAACAAGAAGTGCAGTGGGTTATGAGAGTGGGTTTTCTTCTGAGGGTAATGGGTTTGGAGAAACAGCACAGTATGACTTACAACATACAAAGTTGTGATCACTACAGAGCTTCAGAATGTTGGCTACTTCAACTCTCCCAGTTAATATGGAGAATAGTCCTCAGCAGTCTGAAGAAGATAAAACTCAAGACAGATGTCTAAGAGAACCCAGGCAGGGCTGGAGTTGGCCATCATCAGACACAGGCTTGGGTGTAGGCATCACCAGCTCTGCAGTGAGCCATATACATATCTGAAAGGAATCCCCTGCATGAGTTAGCTGCTCCCTGGGACAGTCAACTCCATCACTGTTTCCAGGGAGAAAGTTCAGTAAGTGCCTGGATCTCTTCCTCTCCAAGGCCCACACTTTACTTGCTGCTGATTCTCTCACTGTTCTCTGGTGACAAGGTAAATAAGAAAGAAAAGCACATTCAGAATACAAATGTTTGCATTTAAGAACGCTTTATATCCAAGTATGAACAGCAGTCCCAGTGAACACAGATACAGCTTGTAAGCCTTTGCTACAGGAAATGCTCCATTTCTTTTAAACAGACCCGGAGCCGTAAGGAATGCTGGGACCCGTCGGCACAGTCTCACTGCAGCAGTAATCTAGAAGACGTTGACGTTTTAAACTGGACAATCATAGACGTGAATTTCCTGGTCATCTCCAACAGACACAATTTTTGAACCATTTCCATTGTACTTTACTCCCCAGACCTGTAAAGGAAAGCATGAAAGAGAATTCATGATATTACAACTAAAGATCCTTATTTCTAATACCAAAGCTAGAAACAAACCTACGATGAAAATGTTCTTCAGACTTTCTGAATCAGTGAGAATGGGGCTTTGTCTTTTACCAAGTGCATCATTGGCTTAATGACCATGCCCTATCCCTCAGGAGCCCTGGGGACCCAATCAAAAGGTCAGAAACTAAAACCCACAGCTGCTCTACAGGAGAAAGGGGAGGCAGTGTGCTCCCATAGATTTATGGGAACACTTTGGAGTAGTTCTTTCCTGTCCTATAGGGTTGCTATGAGTTGGAACTGACCCCATGGCAGTGGGTCCCCTCCCTCACTCATAAAGTGTAATTCCTAATCACTAATCAAGGTGTCTCTACCAACCTTTTGAAGATTCAGAAACGAGGATGGCCAGACACCAGGAAGCTAGAACCCATAAGGGATTATCAAGGACTCTGACTGATGTTTCCAGAAAGGAAAGGCCCTACAGCAATTCTGAAGTGACTGCCAACAGGGACTCTTCACACCACCCCCTGCAGTCAGTAATTGTCAATCTGTTATTAGAGCCCAATAGGGCCCATCCGCTCCCTGGAGCTGGACAACATGACCTTGTGGAGCATTGATTTTATTTGCTGTGTGTGTGATGAATTAACAAGTTTGAACCTGCTTCCCTGACAGAAGTGATGTAGTTGGAGTTTCATTCTGATTTGTTCAAGATTTGCTTTTCAGAATGGTTGGGACCAGCACTGGCCTTACCTGGAAGCTTGTTAAAAATGCAAAAATCTCAGGCTCAAACGAGCCCTACGGACATTCCTGGGGGGAGTCATGTGCATCTTAGAGATTGAGAAGCACTGCACTAGATCATCTTCACCATTTCATATTCACAATGGCAGAAGCAGACAGACAGACAGACTTCTGGAAAACCAGGGTCTTCTTTCCTAATTTCAAAACTTAACAGAATTTCCAGCTTCCAGTATATTAAAAAAGAATAATCATATCACTTCTTTGGACAACTTCAAACATGGCAAATGGTGACTATATTTAAGCAACGGCAGCTCCCAAGAAGGGAGGTCCTTGAGAACCAGCCACTAGCGACAGCACTGGCCCATCCTCTGCGGGTGAGCGGCGCACAGGACAGCAGCCCCGATGAAGTAAGTCCAGGGAGGTCAAGCAGCTAAGTCTCGGTGTCGAGCAGCGAGGTTCAGAGCTTTGGCACAGGAAACGGGTAATACTAGCGATCCAAAGACAAAGGAATTCAAGTATTATACCATACCTGATCCTGGTGATCAAAAAATGTGTGCACACAAGTCCTCGTTCCAACATCCCAGACTTTCACACTTTTGTCAGATGAACTATTTAAAAAAAAGTGAACATTAGTATCAGGAAACAGGAGTCTTAGAATGAAGCTGGAAGGAATTTGACCAAAACTTCACATTTCTTCACTCCCCTACACTCTCCTGCTTGCTCCCACCCAATGTCTGCAGGTACATGTGGCCAACCTGGGCCACAGGAGGTGACTTGGGGTACTGGCGTCACTGGGTGGCTTTCCCTCCTCACTGGGCAGCCACTTCCTGAAAGTGCATTGGCCTGGCTCCCAGATGAAGTGATGTCACTGAGAGTCACACAGCTCTCTTTCTCAAAGGGAGGGAGACCTTTCAAGCTTCCAAAGGAAGGCTTTCAGGGGCTCTGTAAGCCACTCTGCAGAATTTTAATCTATACACTGCATTGTTTGTAACTCTTGGCCACGCCAAGCCCTATGGCACTACGGTCTAAAAGCACATTTTACAAACAGATTTCACATTTTAAGTAACACAGGTTGTAACACAGGTACGCCTTACAGTAGACCACAGGTGGAAGACTAGATTTATAAGGAAAACTGTTTCACTGTTTTAAAGACTTCACCTTTGTTCAAGCTGAAGACAACTAATTTCACTCCTTAAATAAAAATCAGTAAATAAAAAGTTCATATAGTCTTAGAGAATTTAAGGCAATTAGTACTCGAAGACCCCTAACTTCCTAGCATTTCGGAGAAAGATATGAATCGTAAGTACCTGGAGACAAAGTGAGTATCGTCAGGACAAAAGGCAACGTTCAGTACCCAGGAGGCATGGCCGCTCAATGTGCCAGCCAAGTTGGCGTGCTGTCTGAAACAAGACAGGTCCAAACAAAATGGAAATGTTAATTTCACAAAGCAGAAAACATACTGTTAACTTTTGCCCATTTAACTGTGTGCCAAGTCAATTTTGACTCATAGCACCAGTTTCTGAGAGCAGCTGGTGGGTTTGAATTGACCTTGTTGTTAGCAGTCCAGAACTATATAAAAAATTCCCTTGTTGACTAAGTGGCATTATTTCACTACAACAAAAATTTTTACAGTGGCCTTAACCCAAAAGTGTATTAATGCCACCAAGAGCCAAGAGTAAGATAAAGAACAACTTAAAAACTCAAGATGAATCAGGCAGCCCAAGATGAGGCAAAGAGTTGTCAGCGGGACAAACAGAACATCTTAGGCCAGGCGCAGGCTCTGTTCCTGCTGACACCAGTAAGTACCCCCTGCGTGTGAGGCCAGGGCCTCGAGTCCAAAAACAGTGTCCAAATGGATTCATTTAAAACACGTGTCTTTGAGAGGCCATTTTTAAGCTAACCAAGAACAAGACATGAGCACGGTGGCTCCATACAATATGTACTGGACTGTGAACTATAAGGTCAGCAGTACAAACACACGAACTGCTCTTCAGGAGAGAAATGAGGCTTTCTGCTCTTGTGAATATTACAGCTTTGGAAACTCTATACAGGGTTGCTATGGGTTGAAAATAACGACGGCACTCAAGAGACTACAACCGTTTTCAACTATTTTTTTAAAAAGTAAAAAATCTCCTGAGACAAACAGCCGCCTGAGGTAAGCATGTAAGTGGACTTGAGCTCGGCAGCTTTATCCCAGGGACCCCCAGTGGAGGACAGCAGTTCTAGTGAGGCACAAGAGAAGGGGGCCTCAGTGGGAGGTAGTGAGACCCTGAGGGTAAAAGCCCTGGGTCTTCATTCAGTATCACCCCCCTCAGACTAATCACCACCACCTTAGGTTTTTCAGCTGCAAAATACAGACTTTAATCCACACTCACCCACCCATGCAACAGTGTCAGTGAAAGTCTACTAACCCAGCTCCTTCGGGGATTCCTACTATTTATGCTGGCTCTGCTGAGAAAAGCCAATACAACTTCAGAGGAGTTTCTAACCAACTCTGCCCTAGCATTCCCATCCAGTCTGTCTGATAGCTTCTTACCACTCCTTCCTACTTATAGCTCTATAATCCAGAGCCGCCCCCCTTCCCCCACACCCCGCACACACACACCAAATGGTGACAGGACCTGATCCTGAACTGCATGCAGCGGACCAGAGGTACCCGGCAGGAAGGCTGGGCTGTGGACCAAGTCAGAGTACCCAGGACACACATTCACCAGATAGTGGGGGCTGGGCGTGGGGCCTGGCAACGAGGAGGGAAAACCGTGAGAGCACCGGGCCCTGCAGAGGGGTGCCCAAGGAGAGCATGCCATGGACCGAGAACGGCTAACAATGTATGCTGTATGTGCTGTGAAGGAGAAACAAACAGGCGCGGTGCTGGGCCCACATCGAGGCCTACAGGGAGGTAGCCTCTAAGCCAACAGCTCCCGTTCAAGGGCAGAGGAGTGCCTGCTGGAACCACCCCACCCCTAGAAAAAGGATGTTCTAGTTTTCTACCATCACCCTGGGCCAGATACCACCCATGGCTGCATTTTCTCACCTGTACACTGCTTACCCACAAGAATGAGAAATAAGGGAGCCCCACAAGAGACACAAGAGAGGCGATCTGGTGTGGCACTGTGGGCTAATACACTAGACTGCAAAGTCAGTCTGAACCACAAGGTTGCCAGTTCAAGCTCACCAGCTGCTCCTTGGAAACACTATACAGGGTCACTATGTCGCTGCTGGTTGGAACCGACTCGACGACTCTTAACAACACAAGAGATAGGATGCCATAAAAAAAGTAGCAAGTCTCTGTCCCTACCAGGTAACCTATGCTTATCTCCTCATGGCAGCCCTAGGACACATTCTAAGCTCAAAGACAGGGAACCGAGGCGGGAGGAATAGGGTGAGACAAGGGTGTCCTATACGACCTGAACAAAGTCACGACATGATCCACAAAAGGATGATCCAGCAGCTCATACCCAGGGCACTTCCTAACAAGAAGGGGACCCAATGGGCATCGTATTAATCTTGACTAGGTGACTTACACATCATAGATCTTGATGTAGCCATCATCTGAAGCAGTGACGAGCAGCTGAGAATCCGGGGAAAAGGTCAAGGAGCGGATGGGCATAGCATGGCCTAAAACGCATAAAAGCCATTTGGTGAATCACTGTCTCCCCATTCCCAGCTGACTATATATGTCCCTTTTAATGATCATGAGTCACTGAATCTGACTGCCCAGGTGCATCAGCACCCTCGGCCTAACGTCCTAGAAACACTCCCAGGAAGCCTGGCCCCTCCTGGAGCCAGCCCCCTCTCCTCTGGGATCAGTTGGGCCTCAGCTCACTCTGCTTAAATCCACTCCCCTGCTAGACATAATGGCAAGGCATGGAAATACGCATCACCTCTGATCTGTAAGACCAAACAAGTCAGATGCTATTTTCCCTACCAAGCCATCTGTAGTACAGCAGAGGATAGACTGAGGTGGTAATATAGTCACTTGGCTAGAACAGAAATAGTACAAAAGAAGGTACACTAAGAAGACTTCCTTCTACCCCTACTTGCTGGCCACTTAGGCCTCTTCCCCAGAGGCACCAGGGTTGCAAGTCTTTTACAAACCCTTCCAAAGAGATTTTTTGCATGTATGCAAATACTTACAGGTTTTTTTTTTCCTATACAGATATAAAACAATACTTTGAAAGAAGAGAAACTTACAGATTAAGATAAATGAAAAACAAAACATAAAAAGGATAAGCCTATAGTGTCTAGTGTTATACATTTAAGAGATAAAGCTGAAAAAAATGTAAGTTAGTTTATTGATTACAGGATCCTGGAGGAGGAAGGGTTTGGGAAAGGCACGAGAGGGGTGTGACAGGGACAGAGCACACGCAGGGGCTTCTGGGATGGCTAGCAAAGTTCTGGTGTGCATTTGACAAAAACCCAACAAGTTATCAATCATGTGAGATTTTTTTGTACCTATGTTTTACGTTATAATAAAAGATCTTAAAAAGGACACTCTTTCATGCTTTGTGGTTTTCATTTTAAAGACCTTAGAGAACCCTTCTTTGTCACTGTAGCAATGTTCCTTCCAGGTTACGGCCAATTCATTGTTATCACGCCACAATGACTAACTGTGTGCATGTTATTTTGAACATTTGAATGTTAATAGGACAAATTCTAAGCAGCAGAGTTTGTGCATCAAAGCATACATTTAATTTGATTAAAACCAATCCGCTGCCATCTACTTGATTCTGTATGGTTTCCAAGACTATAAATCTTCATAGAAGCACACAGACTCTTCTTCCTTCTACTGAGGGGCTAGTGAGTTTGATCTGCCGACCTGGAGGTTAGCAGCATACCACTTAATCCACTACCCCACCAGCATTCCTTTTATTGCTGCTGTTGTTGTTGTTAAGAGGCGTCCAGTTGGTTCAAACCCATAGCAACCCTGTATAGGATTTACAAGGAGCGAAAGGTTCAAGGTGAGCTTGAACCGCCGACCTTGTAATTCAAACGGCTTTGCAGTCTGGCGCAATAACCCACAGCGTCACACCAGGACTCCATTTATTAGACAGTATCAAATGGTTTTGCTCAAGAACTTGTAACAATTTGCAAAACTGTTAAGGACTTCATTCTTCTTGGATCAACTATCAACACTTATGGAAGCAGCAGTCAAGAAATCAAACGATGTATTGCATTAGGCAAGTCTGCTGCACAAGACCTCTTTAAAGTGTTGAAGAGCAAAGATGTCAGCTTGAGGACTAAGGTATCATGGTATTTTCAATAACTTCACATGCATGCAAAAGCTGAACAGTGAATAAGGAAGATCGTAGAAGAATTAATGCTTTTGAGTTATGGTGTTGGAGGAGAATATTGAAAGTGCCATGGCTGCCAAAAGAACCAACAGATCTGTGTTGGAAGAAGTGCAGCCAGAGTGCTCCTTGGAGGCCAGGATGGCCAAACTTTGTCTCTCATACTTCGGACATATTGTCAGGAGGGACCAGTCATTGGAGAAGGATATTATGTTTGATAAGGTGGAAGGTCAGAGAAAAAGAGGAAGACCCCCAATGAGATGGACTGGCAAAGTGATAGCATCAGTGGGCTCAAGCGTTGCAAATTGTGAGGTAGGCCCAGGACAGGGCAATGTTTCATTCTGTTGCGCATAAGGTTGCTATGAGTCGGTACCGACTCGATGGTACCGAACAATAGCTACATGTAAGCACTGATTTTCCCATATCCCCAATTAATCTTTTTACCTTTGACACTGGCAGGTACAAAATTGTATTTTGGGACAGTTTTAATTGCTAACGTTAAAAAATGCCCATACTGTTTGTGAAGGGGCCATACATAAAGTGCTATAACTCTTCTGGCATATAATATGAAAATTAAATCCACATTTTCTATTCTCAGATCTCACAAGCCATTTGAGACAGAATGGTGGAAGATATGGACTATCATTACTTCATTTGTGTGGGCCCCACAATACAGATAGGAAGTCATCCTCCAGGTATACCAAGAGAGGCCCGTGTGACCCCAGACAGGAGACACACCAAACACATGGCTCCTCAGGCCAGGAAAACCCGTGAGTTCACACATGAGTGGTCAAGGGCAAACCTACAAGGAGACAGCCAAATCACAGGGTCGGATTTGCAATTAACTTGCGTTTGACTTCAATTGCTCCAGGATCTGCTATTGAGTTTGATTTTACAATATTAACAACCTGAGCGGCTAATGTGGCGAAAACGTTTCATACTATTTAATTCCGTGATTCCACTTCTATAAGCTTATCCTAGGAGAATAGTTAGATATCTACAAAAATGGGATGATTATATATATATATATATATATATATATATTGTTGTTGTTGTTGTTAAGTGCCATCGAGTCGGTTCCGACCCATAGCGACCCTGTACAGGGTTTCCAAGGGTGTAAATCCTTACGGGAGTAGAAAGCCTCATCTTTCTCCCGCGGAGCAGCTGGTAGTTTCGAACCGCTGACCTTAAGGTTCGCAGCCCGATTCGTAACCACTACGCTACCAGAGCTATATGTATATATATTAGCAAAAATAAAGTAGAAAGCAGAGTCCAACAAGACAGAGCTGGCCAAACTATGGTACATTTAAGATGATTATTATGCAGCCATAACAGTAATAATAATAATGAAGATGGTACAGGACCAAGCAGTGTTTTGTTTTGTGGTACATCAGGTTGCTATGAGTCAGCACGTAACAATGTGGGTGCACTGGACTGCAAAGTCCGTTTGAACCACAAGGTCGGCAGTTCAAGTTCACCAGCTGCTTGCTGGAAACCCTATAGAGAGTCGCTATGGGTCGGAACTGACTCGATGGCACTTAACAACAACAAGAAATAACTGAGAATAGGAATTGGCAGACCTCTTCTGCAATAAATATGTTAGGCTTTGAATGCCACAATAGTCTTTGTTACACATTGTTTTTTGTGTGTTTTTAAACAAATAAAATATGTAAAAATCACTCTTAGCTTGGCAAGAACATTTGCCAACCCCAGCTTCAGATGAATGTTTAGTGACTTGCACAAATACAATATTTAAGTAAAAGTCTGTTCTGATAGCATAAATATGGTCCCAAATTGGTCAAATAGGTATGTGAGTACAGAAAACCCTGACAGACAACGGTGTTCATGAGATGCTCTGACCAATAAGTGGGGAGTGGGTGCAGTACTTTTATCTTGAAATCATCAACAAAAAAGATTTCATTTTCCAGTCACAATGTTCTTAGAAGCAAATGTGACAGAAAGGAGACACTCAGATATGGCTTCGATCAACCTAGCAGTGAAAAGTCAGCTTGTTCTCGAAAACTAACATCGAACTGTCACAGTGAATGCATCCTGGCTAAAACTCCAGTGACAAGACTCAAAACTGCAGCTATTTCAGATTCCCCACTGAGGTTGATAACAGCTTACAAATCTACTGCTTGTTTGCCACTGAGTGGCATTTTGAATGAAAAAATAATTCTTCCTTTGTGATCTGACAATCCAATTTACATCAAATAAAATGACGAGGCATACCTTCCAACGTGTGCAGAAGTTTTCCAGTTGCAATATCGAAAATATTGATGATTCCATCTATGGCTCCGCTGGCCAGGTATTTCCCATCCGGACTCTATTGAAGAACACAGAGGTGGGCACTTTGAGACTCCCTTGTGCTGAGCCATGCACCCACCCCACCAAACAAGCAACTCTGCCAGCTGCAGCGCTAGCTGGCTGGTTTCCAAACCCATGTGAGACCCTGGCAGCACAAACGTTTAGCGGAATAAACGAAAAGAACCCGAGTGAGAAGAGAGCAGTGCTTCCTTACATATGCAATACTGAGAATGAACTTTCCTCTCGTGTCCAAAGAATATTCTTTTTTCCCACTTTCCACACCAAAAATGTTCACTTTCCCCACATGCGTTCCTGTGGCCAGATACTGGGAATCAGGAGAAAAGGCCAAAGTCCAGGCATCCACTGAACAGAAAAAGAGAAGGAAAAACTACAGTGAGAAAAGATGGGACAATTGTACAAAAACCGTTCTAAAGATGCTGACTCTGCACCAGCTTAGCGTAAGAGCTGCTTATATTGGTGGAACAATTCCAAGCATTGGCCAGGGTTATGGAGAAAGGGAGCTCTTGTACATCAATCGAACTGTAAAACAGCCCAGCCACTCGGAAACCCAGCTTGGCTGTTGAAGTGAAACTATACACTTACCATATGGCTCAGTAACCCCACTCCTAGGTATCTACCCAAGAGAAATGGAAACACAATCCACACTACTCATAGTAGCCCCAGACTGGAAACCACCCAAATGCCCTTCAACTCGTCAACTGGTCAACTGGTCAATGGACAACACAAAATGTGATCTGTTCTTATAACAGATACTACTCAGTAAAACGAATCGGGCTGTGAACCTCAGGGTCAGCAGTTCCAAACCACCAGCTGTTCGCGGGAGAAAGATGAGGCCTTCTGCTCCCTGTAAAGATTTACAGCCTCGGAAACCCTGTACAGGGTCGCTATGAGTCGGAACTGACTCCACGGTACATAACCACCACTACTCAGTATACTGTGGATACATGCTACAACTTGGAAGAATCTCAAAAGCACACTAAAGAAAATGAAGATACAATGTAAGGTTTCATCATTTAAAAAAAGGAATTAGAGACAGAAAACTGGACAATGGTTGCCTGAGGTTGAGGGTGGGAGAAGACATTGATTATTAACAGGGAACTTTTAGGGACATGGTTGTTCAGTGCCATTAAGATTCTGTATAGGGTTTCAAAGGAGCAGCTGGTGGGACTGGACTGCAGACCTTGTGATTTGCAGTCCACACCAGGAGTCCTTAGGGACATGTTAACTGCTGTCAAGTCAGTTCCAACTCATAGTGACCCTGTATAGGGTTTCTGAGGAGTGGCTGTTGAGTTTGAACCGCCAACCATGAGGTTCAAACGGACCTTGCAGGCCAGCACATTAACCCACAGCATCACACCAGGACTCCTTTAGGGACATGTTGCTGTGGTTGTTAAGTGCCATTGAGTCGGTTCTTAGTCATAGCGACCCTGTATAGGGTTTCCAAAGAGTGGCTGGTGAGCTTGAACCACCAACCTTGTGGTTCAAACTGACCTTACAGTCCAGCACATTAACGCGCAGCGCCACACCAGGGCTGGTGGTGGTGTGCCGTGCATCCATTCTGGCTCATAACGACCCTGCATAGGGTTTCCAAGGCTGTAAATGTTAGAGAGCAGAAAGTTTCATGTTTCTCCTGTGGAATAGCTGACAGTTTCGAACTGCTGACCTTGCGAGGTTAGCAGCCCGACAAGTAACCAGTCCACTATGCCAGGACTAGGAGGTCCTGAAACTGGGTGGGGATGATACTTGCACAACTGTATATATTTACTAAAACTCATCAACCTATGCACTTAAGATGGGCGGGCTTTAGAGTGGAATTATAGAGGTGAAATTTTATCTCAATAATGCTACAGACAAATGAAGATACATATTAGAAATATGTTTCTATAAAACTTTAACAAAATACTACAAATTAACAGAGAATGAGGATTAGTAAAAGGTACTATGTTTTGGGTTTGTTTTTTTTTTTAAAGTGCACTTACTTTTCAAACCGCACTACACACGTTAGTTAACTCAGAATTAGATCCAAAGGTTACGGATGCACTGCAGAGCTTCCCAAGGGTCCCCAGACTCCCATGCAGCCTGAGGATGAGCACGTGCACTCTGATTCATCTGGACCGCTAATGATGCGCTGGCATCTCTGCCCGTCAGAGCTGGGTCAGGGCTTAGAAGTTAAAGGAACAATGTGGCTTCCTTCTATCTGTTCTCTACTTGTCTGGGCCACACTTCGAGCCCACTCTCACATGGGAACACCCCTAAGTCCTGCCCTCTCCTACACCTGCTCAGAACCTGTGCTCATCACATCAAAGGGGAATGGGCATCCCTCTGCACTCCTTGGACTAAAACTCCAAGAGGACATGACCAGGGCCCCTCTGCCTTTTGACCTCACAGAGAGTGGGGGAAGAGAGGCCCGTGAGCCTCACTCATCACAGACAGGGACTCTAGACAGATGGCCAAGGTCACAAGTCAGGGTACGTTTTGAAGTCAAATTCTCTTGAAATTTTTAACACACGTATTTTCAAAGTAGCAATAAATCATCTAAGTCTATCACTGTTTTTGTTTTAAAAAAGGGAATTTACTTCAACAGTGTTCAACTAACCAATGTTGCTGTTAAAGATCTTAATAAATCTTTTATAATCAGACTCTTAAAAAGCTGCTTCTGAATGTCTATCTTTAGACCTAAAAGATTTCACTCTACAAAAAGCATTTACTCTAGAAAAGATTGTTTCATTCCTATTATCAATAGCAGTTTACAGGAATGGTTATTTGGAAATCTAATGTTTATTCTTCTAAGTCCTGGCATAGCACTGTAGGATAACCACAAGGTCAGCGGTTCAAACCCACCACCAGCCGCTCCTCAGAAACCCTACATATATATATATATATATATATATATATATATATATATATATATATATATATATATATCACTTAACAAGCTTAATTTGAAAACAAAACAAAACAAAAAACGCCTTAGGAATCCTGTGTGGTACCGTAGGATAAGTACTGGACTGCTAACTGCAAGGTCGACAGTTCAAACCCACCAGCCATTCCTTGGAAACCAGAGCCGCTCTAAGTTAGAACTGACCCAGTGACACTTAACAGTTTAGTAACATAAAACTTCTACATTTCTCTACTGTTTTACAATATAGAAACGTTCTCCTGATACTCAGAAGAGAAGGAACAATTTTTCTTTTTTGATATTTGATCATCAAACTTCTCTTCATGACTGAAGAGTTGCTTTTCTTTCTTCTTGGGCTTCGTGAATCACCCGTGGAGCGGCTCCTGCACCAAGCTTTCTCCTCTGTTCTTCAGTGTCAGCTTGCGGCAGAGCTACCACCAGGCAAGGAAGGGTGCCAAATACAGGCTCTTCCTCTCATCTTCGCTCTCTCCTACTTTCTCCTTTTCTTCTGGTTCTGGAAAATTACTCTTCTCTTTTTCTCTTTGTGATACTTCATGATCTCCACATATGTCTTCAAGACAGATACAATGGAGGCATTCATTTTCTTTACAATCATTAGATCTAGATTTACAAAGGGACTTCACAAAGTTCATGGAAAAAATAGAAGTAAAAAATAATGGCATTTTTCTATGAATTTTTTGAAGTCCCCTTCAAAATTATTGTTTAATATTAAAGTTTGTTAACCTTCAAATGAATTTAGCTACTCCCTAGCTGTCAAGAGCAATGTTTGCTTTTCTTATTTGACTAAATGACTATTTATACTTTAATGGCCTGGGGCCCTCAGTCCTGTTACTCTTCTCAATCTCTTTCTCTTTGATAACAACCACTACCACCTGGCTACACTGGGGAACTACCTGACATAAAGGCCTGCTTGTTAGGGGGGCAAGCTGGAGCCGTACACTGGCCTTTTACTTGCAGACCCTTTCTTCAGCAGTGCTCGCGTCTTCCGAGGTGGTGTACCTGAGGCCACAACCACGCAGAGACCTTACCATCACAGGTGTCCAAGATGGAAAGACAGCAACAGATCTGTCTCTTCTGCTTCTCTTCTGAAAATGCTCCAAGTCTTAACAGTGTGTTGTTTAGGGACCCAAGTCCTGTGTCCACGATGACAGCAGGGAAAGGGCCCATGCAAAGAGAACCACCCGAGAAGCGAAGAGTGTCTCTGAAGATCTCCTCCACATGCAAATCCCTGGGCACATTCCCCACCATGGGGATCAGTGGAGACGACGCAGGGACTGGGCATGCGTGTTCTGAAAAAGCTCCAATTGTAAGGATCACAGACATGCAATACTACTTCTCAAGGAAAACCATCCAGCTCCTAGAAAACGCAAGTCTCCTTATAAACGCTAGAATCATCACTTGCCCCAACATAAGAACAGCTTATCCTGGAGTCCTGGTGGGACACTGTAGGATAAGCAGTGGATTGCTAACTGCAAGGTTGGTGGTTCAAATTTACCAGCTGCTCCTCAGAAACCCTATATAGGGTCGCTATGATTCAGAACGGACTCAAGGGCACTTAACAAGCACATCATAATGGCTCCTAAGCATAAGTGTTGTTAAGTGCTGTCGTACCTGTTCCGACTCATAGAGACCCTGTATAGGGTTTCCAAGGAGCAGCTGGTGAGTTTCAATGGCCGACCTTGCTGTTAGCCATCCAGAGTTCATTCTACAGCATCACACCAGGACTCCAGCTGGTGGGCGGCAAATCCATCTGAAGCTCCAGTCAAGGTAATCATGTTACATGTGAAATGACTAAGCAGCTCGTCTACTATCAAGTTATAAAAGGTGGGCCACAGACGCCCTCTAGCGGTCTCCACTCCCCATAGACTGGCTCTGCTCATCAATACTGTGCGGTCATTGACAACACAAGGCTAAGAGGAACCTGTAAATGTCAGGCTATTTGTTCCATGGTAACCAGCCCACTGAGAGCACCCATTTCCATCATCCCAGGTGTTGTGTGTCAAGGCTGAAGGACAAGGCTACCTGTAGGATAAGCACTGGACTGCTAACCATAAGGTCGGCAGTTAAAACCCACCAAATAGCACTTCACACCAATTGCTGTCAAGTATATTCTGACTCATAGCGACCTTGTATAGGGTTTCTGAGTTGTGTCAGGTGGGTTTGAACCACCAACTTTGTGGTTAGCACTCCAGTGCTTATCCTACATACAGCATCACACACCAGGACTCCAACAATAAAATAGTACATACATATAAATCAATGCTTCTGTTTCTTTCAACAGCTTTATACCAATCACATATTAAAATCAGGCACTCTAATCATAACGAACAGAGATTCACGATACAGGTCTACATAAGAACAGTGCTTTGCATTCTAGAGATCCACAAGACAGGGAACTCATCAATTCAGAACACAGCAAATAGAGAAGCTCTGGACCACCCAAATTCTGGTCACAATCCCAAACAGACAATGTTAAAATCCAAAATGCTCGGAAAGGGCTTCTTCATGTGTAAAACTAAAATGTCCTCGGCAGCAAAGCCTGACTTAACGTGATGTAAGGTTATTTACAGCCTTAAGTTATTTCACTTATTACAAATAGTCGCCTGTTTAGTTGTAGAGCTATTACCTTAAGGCTATTAGCTGTTTAATTACAATGCTGCCCCTAACCCCACTGAAGGTACTATGTAACTCATATTTCACAGACCTCTGGCACCCCTCTCAAATCTGAAAACAGAAGTAAATTCCCTGAGGGCTTTGGGAAAAGGATCAGGGACCTTTCCTATGTCCCCTAAAAGTAAAGCTCTTACCAGGTCCTGCATCTATAGACTTGATCTGTTTGCCGTTTTCCAGGTCCCAGAGGCGAATATGAGCATCAAGAGAGCTGGATGCCGCAATGGGCAGGGTGTGGCTGATGTCCACAGACACCACCCCCAGCTGATGTCCCTCCAGACTCCACTGTAGGTCCAACCTCTCATCACGCCTTCAATGGGGGACAGAGACAAAGGGATTTCTTCACACACAACACACTGTACCTGCCATTGGAAACTCTAGGTCCCTGTGACCCGCATCCCAACAGTCGTAAAACGCAGAACCAGAGAGGAATACTTCCACCAGATTTTCACTTAGGGACTTTGTTGTTTTTAACTATAGAGCTTTAATACTGAATAACAACAAATGAGCTACTTTAAGTTGCCATACTGTAACTGCTTTCTTGCCTAGAAAAAAAAAAAAATTAATACTTTCCTGATTGCAACTTGGGAGCCCATAAGAAAAGCTAACTTTTCTGATGGACTGCAAACAACAAGGTTGCAGTTGAAACCCACCAGCTGCCCCTCAGAAACCCTATATAGGGTCGCTGTGAGTTAGAAGCAACTTGGTGGCACTTAGCAACAACAGCCACATATCAAGGGGGAAGGCACTTACCATTTCCAGACCTTTACCAGGTCATCCAAGGAGCCTGTGACCACCGTCTCTGAGTTTTCTTTCTTGTTTGTTCCCCAAGCAACTGACCAAATGGCATCATCGTGGGCTAGAATGGAAAGTACTTCGTGTAAAAAAGGTCTTCATGAAATCTGTCCCAGTAACTCTAAGATAACATCCACTGTTATCCATTTTACAAGACCTTTTCCCACAGCTTGTCATGGATTTGTGGGGGAACAAACATATGAAAACTGGAGATTCTAAGGAAACCCTTTTCCCCAAATCAGAGGTTTATGAGAGGAGGAGGCAATACTGGAATCCAGGTCTTAGGACTCCTAATCCAACGTTCTATCTCACTACGCTTGCACCACACTGTCAACTGGAATGGTAATCCACTTGACTAAAACAAGTGAAGCCAGTGGGGACCCTTCTGCCCTTTGCCAAAAAGGCCAAAACCTTAGAGATCATTGGAAATCAACCAGAGTCGGGAGGGACAGGCCTACAAATAAATATCTAATATGGCACAGGGAGTGAGGTGGCTCTGTAGGATAAACACTGGACTACAAACTAAAAGGTCGGCGATTTGAGCCCACTAGCCACCCTGCGAGATAAAGATGAGGCCTTAGGCTTCCATAAAGATTCGTAGCCTTGGAAACCCTACACAGAGCTGCTTGAGTCAGAACCGACTTGACAGCCAGCACTTCATTAGCAGGGCACAGGTTGTCTTTCACCACAAACACCTTTTTCATGCTGAATGGGTAGTCAGTTATTGCAATCATCCTGAAAGCAGTATCTCAATCACAACAACCCTATAAGGTAGGAACTATTAATATTATGCCCATTTTACAGACAAGAAAACCACCCAAAGTCACAAAAGTAAGAAGGGGCAGAGTTAGGATCTAAACCCAATCTCTAATAACTAAGGTCTGCAAGCCCCAGCCGTGGAGCGCTGGCACACTGGTGCGTCCATTGACCCAGTGTGGGCCTGTGAACGTGACAAGTGCACGTGGAGGCTTCATTCATGGCTGGCAGCGATTCTCCAGGGCTTCTTATCTGAAATGTGAACATAACTCAACAATATGGAGCTCTGGTGATACAATGGTTAACTGCTCAGTTGCTAACCCAAAGGTTGGCAGTTCAAACCCACCACTCACTCTACACAACAAAAGACTTGGTGATTGGTTCCTATAAAGATTAGCGCTGGTGGTGTGCCATGGAGTCAGTTCTGACCCACAGCTACCCTGCATAGGGTTTCTAAGGTTGTAAATCTTTACAGGAGCAGAAACCCTCACCTTTCTCCCAAGGAGCGACTGTAGATTTGAACTGCTGACCTTGAGGTTAGAAGCCCAGCTGGTAATCCACTAGACTCTTCGTGTGGCGCTGTAGGACCAGCACTGGACTGTGAACCACAAGGTCAGCAGTTCAAAGCGACCAGCTGCTCCTTGGAAATCCTGTCCTGGGTTGCTATGAGTCAGAACCGAGTTGACAGCACGTAACCACAACAATGAGGGCTCTGTCCTATGAAGGTCATAGCCTACAAACCCTAAGGGGGGGTCACTGAGTCAGACTCAGCCTGATGGCACACAACAAAACAACAAACTTCAACAGCTCTGAGTTACGATACATGGCTTCAACTACGATCCCCACCTGACTTGAGCCTACCATTTGGATGGCATTAGCTACATACAAGTCAGTTAATGGTATACCTCCTAGTCTCCTAGCTACTTATGCTACCTTGGAAGAATGCTTTTACCGTAAACCTTAGTCTACCTAACTGTTACCTTCTTATGGAGGAAGAGCTCTTCTAGGCATTCCACAAACAACTCCAGGCTTCAGTTCATCTAACTCACCCAGACAGCGGTGAAGACACAAGACATGTGTGAACAGTCTACGCACTGTTACTCCTTTTCAGGTGTGTTCCCAGATTGGACTCTGACCTGTTTCCTGCTCCATTCCTTCCACCATGTTGGCTTTCACAACCCCCCAGTCCTCCCCCATGGACTCAACTGCCTTGACAGTGGTCCTTTGTGGGAGTCCCTGCAACTGTTCTAAGTAAAGGGTCCTGTCACCACTCGGTCACTCAATGGCCCTCCTGTAAAGACTCAAGGCAAGTTCTGAGTTTAGGGCCAGGCCCAAGTACACTTCTTCACATGAACTGGCATCAACAGCTCGGAGGCGCAAAGCATTTTCTTTTTTCACCTTGGCAGCTGGGAAGCTCAGAGTTGCATCTTCCTCAGCCTTGAGTTCTCCGGTCTGTCATCTGACTCCTACTGTTTAGCTGCCTCTGCCAATCTTTTCTGCCAAGTGAGTGAACTGAGGAACTGCAGGTCTGGTCAGCATGGCAAAGATCTTACAGAAACCAGGGACAACATAGCTTTTCCCAGATGAAATTGCTTCAACAGGCAGCTGCTTACCTTGCTCTTGTTTGAAGAGAATACTGTACTAAAAAAGAACAAAACTCACATTAAACCACTGGTCAGGGTTCAGGTATTCCTATCCCCTTTGCAGCCATCCAATTCACCCCTCCCAGTAGATTCAAGTGTTACCTACTGTCCCTCCTGTCTTCCTGAAAGTTCCTTGATTTCAGCAATCTACTTTCACAACAATTATAAGTTCTATATAAGGAGCTCTGGTAGCATAGTGGTGACGAGTCGGGCTGCTAACCTTAAGGTCAGCAGTTCGAAAGTACCAGCGGTTGTGCTGGAGAAAGACGTGTTTTTCTGCTCCTGTAAAGATTTACAGCCTCGGAAACTGTATACAGGGTCACTATGAGTTAGACTCCATGGCACACCACCACCATATATATACACACATATACATATAAAGCTTCTTCAGTCTCTCTGTAAACCATATATACACACATATACATAGAGCTTCCTGAGGCCCTCTATAAACCATACGTACACACGTATGCATAAAGCTTCCTGGGTCCCTCTATTAACCATACATACACATGTATACATAAAGCTTCCTGAGTCCCTCTGTAAACCATACACACACATGTATGCATAAAGCTTCCTGGGTCCCTCTGTAAACCATACACACGTATACATGAAGCTTCCTGGGTCCCTCTGTGAACCATACATACACACGTATGCATGAAGCTTCCTGGGTCCCTCTGTGAACCATACGTACACACGTATGCATGAAGCTTCCCGAGTCCCTCTGTGAACCATACATACACACGTATGCATGAAGTTTCCTCAGTCCCTCTGTAAACCATATAAAACACTCCTCCTGCTGGTATGTCCCATCCATTCCAATTAAGGTGGCCCTTTTGGAGCGAGCAGAACTGCTCCATGGGGTTCCCAAGGTTAGAATAGTTACGGAAGTAAACTGCCATGAGCTTTCTCTTGAGGAGCCACTGGTCTTTTGGTTAGCAGCTGAGCACTTAACCAGTGCGTCACCAGGCCTCTTTGTAATCATCCTATTGTGCTGTGCATTTTACTAGTACCACCCAACCCTGGGCGAGCAACGTTTCCAGGGTCACGCAGTTCTTTAGGAGCAGAAAAAGAATTCAGTCTCAGTTTCCTGACTATAAGAAGTTCTAGTGGCACTATAGGATAGGACTGCTAACTATAAGGTTGGTGGTTCAAATCCACTAAGCTTTTGGCTGGAGAAAGGTAAGGCTTTCTGCTCCTGTAAGGATTTACAGTCTTGGAAACCCTGTACAGAGTTATTATGAGTCAGGCTTGATTTAAAGGCAGTGGGTAGAGTGGGTTCCTGACTATATATGCAGACAACCTAGTGGGCTCAAACTTGCCAAAGAAGAGATCATTTTCTTCTTTGGATAATATTCATTCAAAGAGATGATATTCTTCCCTTGCCAGAGGCCTTACCTGATTGGTCATCTCCTTAACCAAGGATGCAGGGCAAAAGGCCAGACAGCTCTGTGGAAACAACACCAGCGTTTCAGTAAAAGGTGTCATCAGGACAAAGGGAGGTACAGGAGGTTCCCTTGGCCAAGGCAGTACGGTAACCCTGCTACAGAGTTGTTCCAACACCTTTCTGTGGCTCAGTCAGAGGGACCCTCTTTATAAACCCTATGAAAAAACTATGGTCTTCTTGCTCCTGCTGACCCCAGTTACGTAACACTGACCCTATCCCATGGTTTCTTCTCCATGAAGACTTTGACTACAGAGAGTGACCAGTCTCAGAGGTCCCTTGCTGTTCTTCAGTGAGACAAAACCACAGGTCCTTTGAATTTTAAATATTATGTTTTCATAACTCAACAAGCAAACTTAAGAGTAGTCCTACAATAGCAAGTTCTTAGAATCCACGTAGGGATTCAAACCAAAAAGTGCCTACAGGAGCCAGCAGGCTTATCAACAAGGGAAAGAGCTAGAGGGAGCTAGCTCTCTCACCAAAGACAGCAAAGTCTTCAAGGTCTTAGCTCAGCTAAACAGAGACCCAGCTAACTTTAAGAACAGACTTAAATTTCTCAGGCTACAAGGGTTCTTAATGATTTACAGATGTAATCTGGACTCCTCTAGCAGTCTTGTAAAGCCTATAAATTGGACTTCCCCCCCATTTATACAAAATTAACCTATGTTATTGTTCCCTTAAATAGACCTGTCTCTGGTAGCGTAGTGGTTACTAATTGGGCTGCTAACCTCAAGGTCAGCAGTTCGAAACTACCAGCTGTTCCCCAGGAGAAAGATGAGGCTTTCTGCACCAATAAATATTTACAGCCTCGGATACCCTATGAGTTGGAAATGACTCCACAGTACTTAACAACAACAACATTGTTTGGCTAAGGTGCTCTGGTAGCGTAGTGATTACCAGTCAGGTCGCTAACCTCAAGGTCAGCAGTTCGAACCTACCAGTGATTCTGTGGGTGAAAGATGAGGCTTTCTGCTCCCGTAAAGATTTACAGCCTTGGAAACCCTGTACAGGGTCACTATGAGTCGGAGATGACTCTACGATACATAACCACCACCACCAGCACCATTGTTTGGCTGGAGTCCTGGTGTGGTACTGTAGGACAAAGACTGGCTCGAAAGGTCAGTACGAACCGCAAGGTGGGTGGTCCAAACTCACCAGCTCCTCCTTGGAAATCCTACACAGGGTCCTATGAAATGGAACTGACTCGACAGCACTTAACAACAACCCTCTAGCCACTGGATAATTCTCCCTTCCCTCCCACCCCTAGTAACCATCAGAAAATGTTTCCTTTAGCATGATAACCTTTTCTTAACTTTTTACAATAGTTGTTGTGCTGTTAAGTGCTGCTAATATTACTATCATCAAAGTCCTGGTGTGGTGCTGGTAGGATAAGCATGGGACAGTGAACTGCAAGGTCAGTGGTTCAAATCCACCAGCCATTCTTTGGAAACACTATACAGAGTTACTATGTTCTGGAACCAACTGAACGGCTCTAACAACAACATTCACATAATTTAAGAAATTATTACACTGAATCAATTTACAGTTTGATTGCATATTATTCTATAATTAAAATGGAGAATGAACAGTATTAAGGATTCTGTATAGTCTGTTTTGGGAGAAAGTCCATAGGGGTGGGTGACACCAATTCTAGGAACTAGCTGGCCCTCTTTACCACTTTCCTCTCTTAGGGAGCTTCCCCTTAAGCTTCCAAGCAGAATTCATTGCTCGTTCCTCAGCATTTCCAAAGAATACTGCACATACTTTTATTAACGTGCTCTGGCAGGTCAATTACCCATAATGCTACATGGCAGCTGAAGTCAAGAAAACTCCATACCTGTCCCGTGAAGGAGGCGCTTGATACCTAAGACAACAGCGTGGCCCACCACTGAAAACTTTGTTAGGACAGTCCTTGCATTTACGGAACGGAGCCCTTTCCCCGCAGAAGAACCCTGATCCGGATACTAACAAAACATGCTATGGGCCTTCCCTCTCCTATCAGGTGGCCAATGTAAATAGAGTCACGGAAGCTACCCTCAGGCACCGCGGCCTGGGGCATCCCTAAACAAACGTACTTAGAGGCAGCCTCAGGCCCACCATCGTTCACCTACCCGCTGGATCAGACTTGCAGCGACCCCCAAAGAGCCACTGCCAACGACCATCAAGACCAACTCACCGCTTAACTGCCCCGCTGCACTTGCGGTTCCTGATTCGGCGCGACCGCGACGCGTGCTGATGAGCTAAAGAAAGGGCGGGACAAACGCCGCTGCGCCCCCTGCGGGAGCAACGCCACGCTCCCTGCGGATGCTAAAGCAGATGGGCGGAGACAGCGAGAAGGCCACGCCCTGTTCACGCCCACTCTCCCTGAGGCAGGACCTGTTCTCGCTGGTGCAGTTTCAAATTCCAGCAATTATAGGGTAGAGTCTATGAGTCGTAATCGACTCTATGGCCGTGGATTTTCTCCATTTGTACTCTGAGATTGGGCTAAAGTATATAGCACCTTGGGTTCTATTGCTTTTTTTTTTTTTTTTAATATTTTATTGTGAATTATGTGATAGTTTACATGGGAGAACATTGGTTTTACATTCATTCTATCATATATTGTCTCATTGC